TTCAAAAGAGTGTGAGGAGCGCGTCCAGTTTTGTTCAGGCAGTTGATGCCAAACGCGAGCAGCCTATGAGTCCCCTTGTTGACATACTACCACGGAAACAACGAGTTAAAAGGTCACCACTTGCCGGTGATGAGAACAGAATTCAACCGCTGGAACTTACTGCTAATCTGGAGTCTTCTATGCGAGGGGATGATCAAGTGGAGTCAGGTTGTAGCACGGAAACATTGGTCTCAATGAGGTCGCAGTCAGGAAGCCGTGAAGACGTCAGTAAGAACAACGAAGGGCGAATTGAAGTACAGGAAGTTGACGACGAAAATGAATCACATTTCCAGGGCAAAAGTACTGCAGTCATGCGGTCGCCCAAGAAGATGGGAAATAGTAAACCCCAAGACGGCAGCATTTTGACCAGGGAACATTCCAGTGCTGTCAAGCATTTAACAAACGTCGCGGAGGGGAAGAAGAAGGTGACCGCCGATTGTTCTTTCGCCTTCAATACTGGTTAATTAGTAGACGAAATTCACGCCGAATATCACCGTTTCTGATGTATAACGTTTAGGTCGGAGGAGGAGTCCTCCTTGCTCCCTCCTCTCCTGGTATTAATTTACCTGTTAACGGCGCAGTTAGTTATTGACCTCAACTAAAATGAGACCCAAAGCAAAGTGGGAATAGTGAGTGTATAAATCTGACTACTTATTTTGCGGAGATAGGCGAGGTTTATTACGAATGTGTTGGCAAAACACATAGAGGAGTCAATTACGTTAAATGTTGTCGAATCCAGATTTAATAAACAGTACCGTTAGGTTACGGCCAAGGGTAGGGTCACGCAACCCTAACACCAATCCTACGTCGAACCCATTGGATGGCAAGTGTGATATCTCCGTCGACTTTCTGATAAGTCTTAATTCCAAATCATCTCCGTGAGCTAAGTAGCAATGCCAACACCTTATGCGGTCTATTCTCTAACTCATTAAACGTCAACCAAAATTCTGAAATTGTTGTTCAATCCGAACAAATTCCTTAAGTAGAGCTATAATATTTATTTTCATGTATTCTTATTCCGTGGTACTGCAATCACGTCTGACCAGCTGCAAAACGCATTTTCTCTCAAAATGTCAATTTATGTAGTATGCGCTTATAAGCGAACCCCGAGGCACTATGGGACGAGTGAGTTCCGTAACCGATCGGTGAGCGATGGTCTACCATTAAAATATATTTACAAAAGAACGTGCATAAAAATATTCCCTCTTGTAGTCATTTGGCAACAATTTATGTCTTCTTCAAACTTTGTACTTGAAGTAAGGGCATCTTTCGGTTTTAAAAATTTTGTAATTGTGAGGGGGTTAACACATTGAACTTCTTCATTCATAATACGTCGTATCCGCCAATTTATTAACGTTTCCCATAAAGTATACAACGGGATCCACATCAATTGCGAACTTTTATAGAAATTTACTGACCTCTTCCTCATTACGCAAGGACATGTGTGATTTCCATTAGAAGGAATGTACACAGCCTGCAGTTTAAAACCCTTGAATTTAAGTGTAATGGCCAGTAGGATTCAGAAGTATCTGACAATTTAGAAAGTTTTTAAAACCTAAAGATACCCTTTCTTCACATTTTAAATTTGCAGAGGGCGTCTGTTGCTATAAAAGAGTACAAACATGAATAGTTTGTGTATGTTTTCTATACAATATATCTTAATATGCATGAACATAGAACGTAAGAGTTGAGAAGATGCATACTCTTTAAGTAGACTTTTTTACAGAGTACACTTTTCCAGGCAGTCAGAAACAAGCTCATTCAAAGGACAACAGTACTTTAAGGAATGCATCTCATGTACCCCTAGTCTCAGCATTTTGTCCTATGAAAACGGTGGTTGTGGGGGTTTTGTGGGGGGGAATTAGGATAGGTGGTGGAATATACTTTAATAACTGCTATATGCATTTTTATTTTATTGTATTTAGAAATTTTGTTGAGTTATATCTGTAGATTTTCCTACTCTGTAATATCGTTTAACGTATTGCGGAAAAAACTCGATTATCAAACTGCAGGTTTGTTGAGGTTCCTAAAAAAAATATAAATGGTGGTTAGGTGGTCGTCTACTTCAACTTATCTGAGATCCAGCTTACCGTTTTGGAGTTAGATTAATATAGTCCGCGGCGTGAAGCGCCCTGCACACCTTCAATTTACACGCGGAACAACTTACTCCCAGCGGCCGCGAGAAACAAATTCAACAACCTTTTTCCACTTTACACTTCTACCAATTTCCTTCACTGCCTATCTTATTTCTCCACCCCTAAACCCCTACAACCACCATTTCCGTAGGAAAAAATGCCGGGACAAGGGGTGCACTTCTTAAACCACCTTTGCAATTCAAAGTAGGCATTCTGAGTTGGCTGCAATATATTAGGATCAGACTGCACGATAAGCAATATTAAAATCTTGCATATGTAATTTGTTCGAATCGGAAATACCCTTCAGAATTTCGATTGACATTTCATGAGATAGGGGATCTAGTATAGTTGTCGGGTGTAATGACAAGGAACGCTTACCAAAATTAGTCTTGTGGGTCTCTAAATGACTACTCAGAGTTCTGTATGCTAGAAGAATATCAATAAACGACTTGACTGAGTTCTTACACGAAAATCCGGCTTCAATCGCATATGTATATCGTACGCCTAGCCCATACAAATATATCCATGATGACAAACACTAAGGTTTATGTTAGATAATTTCGAATAAATTTAATCACAGAATAACTAGTCTGAGTTAACAGACGATACTGCCACGATCTATCTGTTATGTCCGAAATCCTTCAGACTCCTCCATCGACTGGATTGAAAACGGAGTCGGGACGGCCAAGCACACGCAAGAAATCGCGCATTTTCATTCCAAAGCTTAACAAACTTCATCCGGCTAGCGAGGATTTTATCAATTCCTCTACCCAAGGCGAATCCGATCTCTAACGGAAAACTCCAGTCGACTAGGAGACGCCTGGTTGCCTGACTATAGGATCCGTCTTCAACAGGCTACTCTTCTCCAACTGACCTGCCCGATTTCCTATCTATTTTTAATCTACACGCTATCAGTTTCTATTCCTTTTGTATGATTATTCTCTCGGTGTTGGAACCGTTACGTTAACTTTGAGAATTAAAATTATCTCGTATTTGTCATAGTCTTTTTTTTATTTGGGATTACATATAGGGGAGGTTGTAACAGTGACAAGCTGTGGCGTCACCGTCTGATTACGTCCTGTTTTAATCCCCAGGAAGAACACAATAACAAGGGTGTAAAAGTGGAAGCCACCCGAATGAGGGTTTTATTGTGTACAAAGCCCAGAGTTTCTGTCTC